TTTTGGCAATGACAAAAGAAAGATATTCATTAATTGATACATATTCATGATCACCAAAGTTACTATTGTTGTAGAAGTACATATACATAATCTATAAATTCACAACTCTACAAGTCATTTTGCTTTAAATTGATTTCTGATTAATTTAGCTGTCAATGATATCCATAATCCCACTGTATCATTGCTGTGCTGTTCGAGAGCTGGTAGCATAGAATTCAGTGTTTGTTTTATTAGTAGTACAAACAGTTCTTGTAGTACTAGCTCTGGTGAAGCTGCAAGAACAAAACATTGTCTGAAAATAATAGTTTTTTTTTTATCTGCAGAGTAAAGGTCATTTTATTTTCTCTAACTTTATTGCCAAAATGTTTTATTAGTAACTGGTTTTCTTTCAGCTATTAGTGGCAAGTATTAATGCTTTTTTATATCAGACATGAATTCCTTAAAAGAGCCACTTCCTTTTCATTTTATTGTGTACCATGCTTTGATCTTAATCATACTTGAATAATGATACAAGTTTCATATATGGTTCTCTAACATCTGTAATATCATTCTCATACGTTGTTATGCACATATGTTTTTTTCAAATTGTCAAAGCTTAGAACCTTTTGCTTTCTTTTATATTTTTGAGCTAGCCTTCTACAACAAAATAAACAACTAATTCATTCTTGTTTATAAAGGTTATTATTATTATTATTATGACTTATGGGGTGTTATTTGTTTTCAGAAGTAGTTCAGGTATCAATCACATTCCTCTTTGTATGCAGTTTAGTAAATAATTCTCATGATGACTTTGCCAGAAAATTACTGTCTTTTTTAAAATATTTAGTTTTGCATAATAGTACTTCCGTTCATAACTTGTCTTTTTAACTTGGTATCTTCCATGCACAATATCTACTCGAGTAAGACTGCTAATTTGTGTAGTTTATTAAGTGAGTCATTGTTACTGTTGAGCATATATTTTTAATATCCATGTTTCTATAAAGTTTTGAAATAGCTATGAGCAATATTCTGTAGTCAGATGGATACTCTTCCAAATATACTAGTTTTAAATCTAGTTGTGTAACACATGGTGGCCTGGATTGTATTTCGTTTTGCTTTTTATATGAAAATATGAATGTTATTCTTAATAAATTATCTATTCAGTGAGGTACAGTCCTCAATGACTTTCATCTACTAAATTATAAATTTTGCATTTATTTTAGAAATGGGGTGGTGGTCCTGCCTAATTTAAGTAGCTTGAAGATGTTTATGATATCAGCTAGTTTTTGTTTTCCAAGAGAACTTAATTTTTGTGTGTATATGAACTAGTCTTCTTCTTTTCAGTATTATCAAGTATTATTCATGTAATAAAATTCTAGTGAACACTTAAATTCTCAATAAACTTTTAGTGTGCAGCTACTTGAAGCAACTAAACAGTTTTTGATTGTTTACATATACTTACACATGCGCACACATATATATACACCATGTATATATAGTGCATAATAATGTAGTGTCTCGTGTGATATATTCAGGCCAAACTGATTTTACTTAAGAGCAGTGGAGTACCCCAGTAGGACAGCAGCAAGTTTACAGACTTACAACACTAAAGTTTGGGGTTTGATTCCCTGTGGTGGACACAACAGATAATCCAATGTAGCTTTACTCTAAAACAAGCAACAACAATAAGAGCGATGGGATAGGTCCACAGAATAACAAGATATTTGATCAGGATAGTTATTACAGAATAATACTGAATCTTGAAATAACTGAAGCATGAGAATAATATAAAGAGACTAAACACAAAGTAAAATCTGAAATGAACAATCTTTATTAAAACAATAAATACAAACACTTTGGACTTTCACTTTTACTGGATCTTTCTTCAGACTAATTACTCTTTAAGATCATACACCAGACTGATTCAATCCAATGTTTCATACTTTGTAAGAAATATATTTAATATTTATCCAGAGTGACTAGTGCCACCTATATGACTGCTCAGCCTCATTTAAACATTGGTGAGGTCATAACTATTAAACATCACCTGTTCTACCATTGAAGGACACTGCTATCAAAATTTTTACACAGTGTGTAGTACTACAGCAATACTTCCCTAGTGGCAGAGTAGGTATTATCCATCTTCTAGAGAATGACAGAGAAACAAAGACAGCTAAAATAAGATGGACCTAACAGATTTCTTGACCACATGGATAAATTTAGAATAGATATTATTATAACTGTATTAAAACATAACATTCAACCAATATCATGCCCCTGAAAACTAGTGTTTGAAGTGTTATCCTTTGAAAGCCAGACATTGACCAATGTAGCAGACCATGCTATAGTGAGAATTGATATTGTTTTGTAGTGCACAAATACTATATACCATAGTCTCTTAAAATATATTGTTACATATCTGCTTGTTTGATAATTTCCCATAAAGTTTTTTTTCTGAGATACAAGTCCTTTCTTAAATAAAACTAGTTTATTCTTTCTCAATACAACTTTGCAATACACAGAATTTCCACAGTCACTTTAGCTTAAACACACGCTATAATTCACAATGATTCATGCACTTTACTTACGGTCACTACTGCTCGCTTGACTCAATTATCTGTCTCTATATCTGCAATTATATCACCGCTTTATTTGCCGGGCTTATATACTAAAATAGAGGGCGCCTAGAAAAGACTAGAGTTGCCAGGAACAGTCATGATCCTTCTAGAAACTTCAGCGTGCATGCTTCCAGCGTCACATAACCTCCACTGTCACAACAATATATTTCTTATCTACAACATCTAAAATTTATAAAATTCTGATTTGAGATTATTCTAAATTCCATTGAGCTCATGTGGTAAATTTGGTCTAAGTTGTTACTTTTTTTAATGTGACCAGTTAAAGAACTTATCTGCTATTTGATGGAATAGTTGCATTGTGTCATACCTGACCTTTTTTTGTGGGGTATACTTTGTAACTGTCACATGGAGCAGAGATATTTCTGCATTCTTGTGTCCTCTTTTTTAGTTGAACAGCTACAGAGAGAAAAGGTATTGTGAATACAGTTTTGGTACTTTCAAGGAATATTTGCCCTAACATCTGATGAAAGCCAATTAAGTTTGCTGTGGAAGTCCAATCATTGGTTCACTGTATTTCTACCTGCTGATCATGTGTGCTGCAGCTTAACACTTCTAATTAGTTTACTCTTCTTTTATTTTGCAGTAGTATTTCATCTCTGTTGATCACTTGTATCTTTCCTTTTTGTTTGCAGTAAAACATAGTTTTATTTTGTTTTTGTTTTGACTTCAACACTGTATCTTGTCTTTTTTGTTTGCAGTAAAATAGAGTTCTAATTTGTAATATTTTACTCATGCCAATCAAGTAGATTTCACAGTATTATTCTATACATAACAATCTGATAAGGATGGTGGAATCCACACTTACCCAAATAAAATGTTGGTAATGTTTTGTGTATATGAGGTTTATATATTTGATAATTGTATTTCGCTAGTAATAGTCCATTAGAGTTTCTAACAGAAATTCTATCACTGCATCTCATTCAAACTACTTCCAGTATTTTATCCATTTTAATTTACGAAATTTAAGAATAATCTTTTATCCAATAAAATAAATTATTCGAATTGTGGTAATGTTTAATGTATATCTATCTTATGGAGTTAAGAGTCATATTTTTCCAGTAAAACTGATGAAAATTGACCTGATGAAAATAAGGTAAAGTTATGTGGAATTTTATTAACATTTAATCATTGCATTATATATATTTATATAGCCTTTTCACTTTACCTCTGTGTAGTGAAAAGGATATATGAATGTGTATAATGAAATGATTAAATATATATATATATATATGTGCATATATCCTTTTCACTACACAGAGGTAAAGTACATTATATTTAAACACAATGTTATGCCACCCAGTCATACCGTAGCTGATGATCATGCATTTTGACAGTAGCCCTGTAGCATTAAATCTATTGCAAATGGCTCCGTGTCTGAAACACACTCATTTTCCCTGCTTGTTTTCCATAAGCCATTTAGTTTGCAGCTTTCCAGTGCCTGTTTAAGCATTCTGTTTGTACAGAAATCCACACACACTGCATCTTGTGACTTGACCAGTATGTCTTTCTGTGGAATAGAATGAATACCCATTCTCCAACTGCTTGAGGTGTGCAATATATAGATATAATAGTTGAATATATATATATTGTTATAGCAACTTGTTTAAATGTGATTTACGTTACTTTTTCATATGGAGGTCTTTCTTTATTATGTTTTATACTGATGCTTGGAACAGGTGGATGGCTTTTACCATTAACGTTTGAATTTGTGGATTCTCCCCTGTTAGAAGATGCAGCACTTTCTTACCACAATTGTAGTATGATTTTTTGCAGATCTCTTTCTGGGTAGTCCTGATCCCCCAAGTTGATTCATATTCCTTTGTTTTCCAGTGCCAATAAGTACAAAGGATATCTCCATCTTAAAAATTCTAAATCTACAGTTTGAACACATCTTTATGATCTGAGTGTCTGATTACTTTGGTTCGATTGATTAGAGCTATTACATACCTGTCCTAAAAGATCAATTTTTAGTGGCTTCACCACACTACCTATGAATCATCAAACAATGTCAAAATGAAATATAGTGCTGATACATTCTTTTCCACCACAACTTTTTATGAGCTATGGCTGTCACAAGACTTACTGATTTGCATATTCAAAATGCTTTTAATATAAACCACTTAGCCTCTATGTATACCTACCCTATTGCCTTTGATGTTATATGTTAGTGTAATTGTGCTACAGTTAAAATTGGTTAAATAGTTCAGATTTTCTTGCCAAATGTTGTGATTTTACAAAGCTTTATATCTTATATGCAGAAGGACTAAGTAAAGTTATATATATATTTACATTATTTACTGTACATATATTGAATTTTATTAGACTATTTCCATATTTATTTTGAAATTGTTTGACTTTTTACAATTTTTTCATTATTACCAGGCTTTGCATATGTCCAGTGGTTCCCGTCGAAAATACACAGTTGGTGAACTAGTTAATTACATGGCAGTTGATGCTGAAAAAGTTTTCAACCTTGCTATCTACATCACTTTAATTTGGGGTATACCATTAAGAATCATTATTACAATGATTCTTTTATGGAAGTATGTAGGACCAGCTTGTCTTGCCGGAGTGGCAACCTTTTTTGTTATCTTTCCACTCTCATCATTTCTGTCCCAAAAAGCTCGAGGTGTTCAGGTTTGTTAACATATTTAAAGATTGTTTAAAAGATTGGTCTGTAACAAGTATATTTAACTCCTTTATTTAGCACATTGCCTTACGTGAATATATTTGCTTTATTTTTTTCTGATTTTTTTTTCTATCTGTGCAGCACTTTGAATCTTAATGTATCTTTACAGTTTGCCTATTAATTGGACTATTTAGATGTTTCTGTTTCATATTAAACAGAGCATATATCCGTCTGTCAGTTTTTTTATTGGGCTGTGATTCTTTACAGTAGGTGTCTGTGACTTGTTGGTGATAAATTTGACAAAAAGGACAGCACACAATTCACTTATTTTAAAATAATATATATTCAAAACAAGTCAAACATATGTACAAAATTCATTACACTATTGGTTATCACAGTTGTATCCAGAACTTCAACTAAATGTCTCTTTTTCATCAAAGTCCACACAGTTGGGTTCAATTAATTTAGAACACCCTTTGATAAGACAAATTATTCTCCTCTACTCTGTTATCACAATATAATTAGTGATAAATTCATTTCCGTTACCCTTTGGGTTACCACATTTGTATACAGAGCTTTGAATAATTCTCTTTTACATTAAAAGTCAACACTTTTCTTGTCTTATTTCCACTTTCAATAACTTAACTTCCTCTCTGTATCTGCACATATTTATAACATGCAGCAGAAAAATCTAGAAATATTTAGCCCTCTAATAACAGTAGTATTAAACATAACGAGAAAGACATAGAAGCTTCCAGTAAGATGATGTTAACAACATTACAAAAGCCTAGTAAAACAATTGAATTGCATACACAATGTGCGACTCGTATAGCATTACAAAAAATCGCTATTAAAATGATTAACTTTTAACACTCTTGTTATGAAAACTGAATAATCCTTAAATATTAAATCACTAAATAAACTAAATAGTAACTTAAACTAAACAGTCTTGTATATCCAATACCATCTTTATACTTGTTTCATCTTGAATGTTATTTATTTTGATCATCCTCATTCTGCAATTGTATAGACCCTATAGACAACTAAATATTTAGGTTAAAAGAAGAATATGTGATCAGTTTAAAATGATGCACATCTTTATTTGAAGGAATTGTGTAATTTTGTTTTGTGTTTTCTTGTTTGTTGCTTTTGTAGGATTCTCTTCTAAGAAAGGACATTATTCCTTGACATGATTTGTTTTATATTTTAGTTTTTTAAGAAATTTCTTAACTATTATAAAGTAAATTTCATTTTAAACAAGCTGTTCTTATATGTATGCTCATTCTTTCCAGTTCACAGCTTTATTCCATCATTCTTAAAGTAAGAACTAGTCAGATTTATGTATCTGGTGTTTTGAGCATACCTTTTTCATTGCAATTTAGCTGTTTAATTTTTGTTTTGATACAATCACTCTCCTCCATACACAGAAAGCTATTTTCTGATATGGTAGGTTACTTCTACTCACACAAATAGACATTCTCTTTCAGTGCTGCTCTCTATATGCAAAACTTTTTTTCGCATACCACAAGCCTTGAGCTCCCATGTACCCAAATGTCAATGTAGTTCAACAGCGTCTTGCATGCAAATCATCATGTGACAACCCTCCACCAGTAAGAGTGCAACACACCTTCCTGACACGTGAATCCCTCTATTCGATTCTACCAAACTATTACTTCTCGTTTGGCAGTGCTATTTTCAAAATGTTTTTTATTTGTGCTCTCTTCCCATATTTTTTTTTGAAATTTCGTACAAAGTGGAGACATTTACTATTTGTTTCTACTTCACTTTGCCTGTTTTAAGTGATACTTTACATTTATTGTTCTTCTTCTTAAATAATTTGATATAAATATTACTATTTGTTGTTATTTGGTTTCAAAACATGCATTTAGTTAGATTTGTACCTACTTCTTGTAAGTTTAGGGTTTTTTAATTAACGTTTAGTGATATCCTTTTGTACTATAAGGTTAATTTAGGCTTAACATGTGTGTCTTTGTAATTTTAGGTTTACCTGTCATTCATCTTGCTAGTGAATCGTACATTAGGTTAAATATATTGTTTCTTCAACAAATACCATCTACAAAATTTTTTATTGTCAATATACAATTACTTAATTTTACAATGTAACGACTTTTTCATTTTCGTAATTAATTATATTTTATACTTCTTACAGTTAATTTTGTCTTTGTAAACCCCTGGGTCTAGGGTGTGCCCAACCTTTTCCCATTATTCCTCACCTTCCTCCTCAAACTGCTGAACTCATTCAGGATGATGTCTCATTTGACAATTTCCCTCCATCTAATTGTGAATTGGCCTTCCCAGGCCTCTACTACAGAGTCTGCTAGGCCTACCTCAGCCATTTCTATACAGATTTTGCAGTTGTTGTTGTTTTTTTCCCTCCTTTACAAGAAATTTTGGTTCATGCTGGGCCTTTTTGTTTCTCTTTTGAGGGATGGTGCTGGCATGCTTTGCCCTCCACGAGCTTGGTTTCATTTTACCTTGGCTTACCAATGGTTACCATCAGGCAGATGGTTTTTTTTGTTTTCTTGCTTCTCTTTTCAAATCTCTGTTGCCTGTATGGTGGGCAGAATCTGTTAATTCTATCCCTTTCTTTCTAGCCAAGTTTTCAAGCCTTCGTCTTCCCCTATCATCTCTCCTACTGGTTGGCTGCCATACACCTCCTTTCTAAAGTATTCCATCTATTTCTTGGGGATTTTCGTGGGATACCTTCCTTCTCCTTACCTCATTGTTGAGGCAATTGCCATCTTTGGCTCTTTCCCTACGAATGTGGCTTCTTTGCTTTTGGGATCTTCTGGGGTAGGACACTGTTTTGTACCAAGTTCATTTCCCTTCTACTTCTAATTTGGACTTATGGAGGGCTCTTTTCCTACATTGGGGTTGATGTTACTTCTGTGACTTTTGCATCATGTGATGTATCTGTGTTGCTACATTCGATTTTTTCTTTTTTGGTTGCTCGTTTGTCTCTTTGTCTATTTCATTTTTTATTTATTTCTGGCACCTTCCCATCATTTACCTGTCCTACATCTAAGAGTTCCTCCATTAGTCATGTATTCTCAATGCAGATTGGAGTTCTGTGATTGGTCTGTCCCACCTCAACTACTTCTTGGTTCTTTCCCTTTTTCCTTTATTGTCTTTTATCACACTATAGTGGGTTGTTTCTCCAGGACTGAGAATGCCCACGGTCAATTTTTTATATTTTTATTCCCACATTCCTATTTTTCATTCCTCGTAGAGTTTTTTCACCATGGGGTTGGGTACTAGTTTTGTGCCTTTCCCTTTGAGCTTGTTTGAGAGCTGTATGTCTTTTTCCTTGATTCCTCATCCACTTGCCTTGGCTATCGATGCATTCAGACAGGATTGGAATTTATTTATATCTTTATTTTCCTATCCCAATCGTCATCTTCACCAGATGACTTCATTCATCCTTGCCACTCTATGTCAGGTCTTTCTGATTGCTCCTTCCTGGCTGATACAGATCTGGTTTTCTCAGCTGCTTCAGCTCGATCTGTTTTTTTATTCTGGATCGATTTTTCCTACCCTCCTCTTTGGTAGCTTTTGGGCATGTTCTTCCTTTTCTCTGTTTTCATTTCCTTCTATCTCTCACCTTTAATTCCAATCGGATCTGGTTGGCCTTCTGTGTCCCATACTTGCTCTGGGTTGCTTCATTGCCTTCAAGGCTTCTTTCCATTGGTTCCTTTTCCTGCTGTTTCATTCCTGGCACCACTCCTCTGTTTGTGACTTTTTTTCTTCTTCCCTTACCCTTTAGATTCAGCTTTTGATTCAATTGGCATTTTCTTCATTGTCTTCTTTTTCCCCCCATACTCAGTTCCTGGTGTTTTCACTCTAATTAGGCACCTTCCCTTTTACCTGCATCTCACCCTCATTGTACATTGGAGGTACTTCTTTGTTCAAGCACTGGGACTACACCTCATACGTTTATCTCCCATTGTCTGTTTTTGGTAGCTGTTTCTTCCTCATCACGGTACCATCTTCCATTTGTCGCCATCCTTCACTCTTCAGTGAGACTGTGACAGGGTAAGATACCTTTTTGTATATATACCTCTTATTTTTCTGGGGCATGTCACATTTTTTTCTTTATAGGTCCTGCTCTGTGGCAAGTGGTGCCTGTCCAGGTGTATTTAACCTAGTCAAATCTGCACTGTAAGGCCATAATGACTTAACAATTACAATTTCCATGGCCACTAAATGCACACTGTTGAGGTGGGGTGTTCCACAAGAATGCTTGTATTTTCTTCACGATATATTTCCTTCATTCATATTCCCATTCCAGACCATACTAACCTATGGAATTCATAGGTAATGCAAAAGGAGATAGTTGCCCATCCTTGCCATTCCTTAGATTGAATAAATCAGGAATGGTCTGCTTTTCAAAATAAGGTTTTCATGGTCTTCCGTTGCACTGTCTCTGGTGTTGACATTCCTCTGGACTTTTCACTGCATTTTCTTCCCCTTTTTCTTCCAGTGGAGTGTGGGAATCCTTACCACTTTTCAGTTCCAAGCCACTGGGGTGATGGACCACGGAGACATCCTCCTGAATGTGATAATTATATACAATACACAAAAAAAATCATTCAGTTTGGAGTAGGGCAGTGGTGTTCTGCTGGTGTAGATGACAAGATGTCCTCCAATCTGATGCTCCATCTCTGTACAGGTTTATCCAAGTGGATTATGTAGCTTTGGAGTGAGCAGTCAAAATTGCAATTCATCCCTTCAATTGGAATCCCTCATCCTACCCCCAATGGATGTCAGTTCCCAGTGTCTGGGTTTTGGTTTCATAGCTGAACCAATCAACATAAGTCCTCACACATGTGTTATAAATGTCTCTGTTTCCTCACTCAATTATACTCTTGTTATCTCCATTGTGTTGTGGGTCACGGTGGTGGAACTTGCAGATTAATATTTTCTTGCTCTAATGCCATCCCTCGATGATTTTCTTATACCGAGGAAGTTATTGCTCTGGTGGCGGTTC